CACACACACACACTTACTCACTCACTCACTTACTCATATTTATACATTTCTCTTTTTGGAACCAAATTTCTTATATTGTGTACCACAGAGTACTCATACTGAACTCTAATAAACTACCAAATTTACTCATGTGAATTTGCAAAGTAAACCCAAACAAGGAAAACCCATTTTCAATGTAAATTAATATCTCCACGGAGGAAAAAAAATTAGAATTCTAGAAAAAGGGGGAGAAAAAATAAGAGAAAGCCCCATATTTGAGAATCTCCTCTGTTTGGAGTCATACTCTTATATAAATCACATTTAAGTTCATTTGCAGAAATTATTGCATGACCATTGTAAATCCATTGCCCAAATTAAAAGGAGCAAGAATAAAACATTTCATTTTAATTAAGAATACAAATGCACTAGATTCTTGGGTCTTTTATCTAACTAATAGCAGTTACTAAATTTCTTCTGTGTGTATATTGTATCTGTGTGTGTGTGTGTGATTTTCTGATAAATTTGGCATATTGAAAATATCAGGAAGCAATTTATTTCTTATGTTAGTGACACAAATATTTAGTGGGCAAACAACACGGGTACAAAGTTATGTGGAATCATTCTGCTCAGAAATTTGGGCTTTATATTTAGGTTTTGACTTGCATTTCACAATTCAATCATGCCCTCTCTACCATGGAGAGTGGTGAGTGGCATCAAGACTGGCAGGCCTGACCTCCTCATGTAGAATTTATGTCATTAAATTACCCCCTAGGAAGAAAGGAATAGCTGCTTCTGAAATATACCCCCCAGAGGACCTGTGTGGTCTACTGCTAGGAACAGCGGGCCATCTCTAGGTCAGAGGGGTGACATCCAGGTCAGAAGCTCGGCCAAGCTATGGCTGGAATCTTAAAGGGAATTCAAGCTCTCCTTGAGGACCAGGATGCACCATGAAGCTGTGTCTGGGACACTGGTACTGACCAAGGTGAGGCTGAGTGTTCCCGAAACCCATGGAAGCTGGAAGGTGCACAGTTGTGTGCACTGAGTACCCAGGGTCAAGAGTTCTTGTGTGTCCCCAGTGAGACCACACACCCCACAGTGCCCCACTCAGAGCTCTGATATAGGCACTAAACAATTTGTAGTTTGGTTGCCTTTTGAGGAGTGTTTTTAAAACAATTTTGCCATTTAAAGTTTACCATTTCCAGTAACCTTCATGACTTGATCCTTTTTTCAAGAATATCAAAACAAATGACATTTTGAGATGTTGGGCTGTCAGAGCTTCCCCTCTGCGTGCCCCCAGGGGTTGTGGTGCAGTTGCTGGAGGACATTTTGTCCCATATAATGAGAGAAGTAGTGGTAAATTCCCACAGCCTAGAACAGCTGGCCTTGACCTCAGGTAGTTGGTGTGGAGACGCCTAGAGTGACGCTGAGTGGAAAGGAGCCAGCAGCAACACCCCAGCATCTACCGCCAGGCTCTTTGTTTACCAGACAATGTAACTTCGTTTTGAGCAAGTGTGAGTTATTATTTTCATTCTGAATTAACAGTCTCCCATTTTCCTGCAGTTTTAATTTCTGATTTTAATTTAATGGGTGACAGGCACAGCCCCGAGTGGGGCCCACACAGAGCCCTGGACCTTTGTGGTGGTGAAGGACTCAGACATGAAGCACAGGATTCGGGAGATCATCGAAGAGGAAGAGGAAATCAACTACATGAAAAGGATGGGACACCGATGGGTTACAGACCTGAAGAAATTTAGGTACAAAATGGTGGGAATAAGGGATGTTTGGCTTCGCTTCTTAAAATGAAATAACTATGACTTCAGTTTCCTGGCTTTGTTCTAGGTGTTAACAAGCTTGATTCTACCTCTGGGAGGGATTATGGAAGTTAAGTCAGGCCTCGCCACTGTTTTGTCTTGAGCTCATGTATTGTGCAGTAGCTGGGAATGCTGACCAGAATCAGGTCTGGGTTTAAATCTTAGCTCTGCTTTTCCAATCGCAAGACCTTCAACATTTATTTACTCTTTCTAAGCATATTAGTCTGAGATCTCCAGAGAAACAGAATCAACGAAGAGAGACAGAGACAGAGAGAAACAGAGATAGAGGGAGAGATTTATTATAAATAATTGACTCATGTGATTAAGGAGGCTGGGAAGTCTCAAGATCTGCAGTCAGCAAAGCTGGAGACTATAGTTTCAGTTCAACTCAGAAGGCCTGAGAAGCACGACAGCCAATGGTGTGAGTTACAATTCTACTTGGAGTTTGAAGGCAGCTCATGATGTCCCAGCTCAAAGACAGTCAGGCAGAGGGAACAAATTCTTCCTTCCTCCACCTTCATGTTCTGCTCAGGCCTTCAGATTAGAAGAGGCCCATCTGCATTGGGGAGGGCAACCTGCTTTACTCAGTCTACCAGTTCACATGTTAACCTCACCCAGAAATATCATCACAGAAACACCCAGAATAATGTTTAACCAAATATCTGGGTGCCCTGTGGCCTAGTCAAGTTGATGCATAAAATTAATTAACCATCACATTGAGCTTCTGTTTTTTTTCACCCAGAATGATGTTATAAACTTGGTGTCAGGATTATATAAGAAAAAGGCTAAGAGTAGGGCCTCCCAAGCTAGTGTGCTTGGGTTTAAATATGAGCTCTACCACTTATTAACCTCTCTGTATGTCAGTTTCTTCATCTGTAAAATGGGAACGAGTCTAGTATTTACTTCATTATGAAAATTAAGTGAGTTTATAAGCACATAGAACGGTGATGCCACATAGTAAGTGCCCTATGAATCTTTGATAAATAAATAGACTCCGACCCAAGTAATAGTATTAATAAATAAACATTTGAGAACTTATTTCACTTTTCTTCCACCTGGAACGTAAGATTGTGAAATACTTCTCAGGATCTTGAGTGAAGTAAATTCCATATTGCTAAAGTGATTGGATCTTCCAAATGATCTTACTAAGCAGGCTTGAGTTTCAGTACGTGTTTGATAAAATACAAATTTAGTACAAGTGTAATGTACTCTCCATTAGGCATCAGTAACTTTATGGGCTTCCTCGTCTCCGTGAAGGAAGTGGAGTGGAATTCTGTGTAACTAGTTTTACTCTGGCGCCTCAGTGTACTAGGGCAGGTACGTGCAAGGTTTTATTTTTTCTGGTAGCTACAGTTAACTATGCCTTGTTGAGCCCTCTTTCCCCAGTGAGGAGCCGTCACCCTTCATAACATCTCTGATGGATTCCATAACTTCTCAGTCATTTTTGTAATTAAAACGGCCACTTTAAAATTTTTCAGAATCAGCCTTGTCATTTTAAAATGTTGATGACAGGGTCATCTTTACAAATTCTGCACTCAAAGGCATTTTCCTTTCCCTTTCAGTCTCTTCTCAGGCCGAGAGTGAGGAGGGCTGGGACAGAGATGTTGGTTTTTACCTCTTAGGAGGGAGGCTAGCTCATGTCCGTGGCACTTAGGAGGTAGAGGTACACATGCCCCGAGCTGTCTTGCTGTGGGCTTTTAGTGGGCGGTTCTGGTACCGGCCATTCAACACCCCACTGTGATACAAGCCTAAGAAAGGGAGATGGGATCACAGTCTTGGAGGGTAAAGTGGGATTTCTTGTAGAGTAGTTAGGGCTGGGTGATGAGTAGTGGGTCTCTTGGCTCTGCTCTTGTTTTACTAATTTGGCCCCAGAGGACAATGTTTTTCCTAAGATATTTAAACCCTATCTTAAATTTTTTTAAGTTAAATTTATTAGGGTAATAATGGCTAATAACAGTATGTAAATTTCAGGTGTCCACTTTATAATATGACTTCAGTGTACTCTATTGTGTGCTTACCACCTAAAGTCTAGTCTCCTTTCGTCACCATGTACTTGATGCCCTGTAAACTCTTCGTCCTCCCCTCTATCAAAATTGATGTCTTATAGAGTTGTAACTTATTACCATGTTCTGGAACAAGTGCAGGATATTAATAACGAATATAACAATCTTATTGCATATTTGCGGGAAAACAATGGGATGGGTCAAAGTCAAGTTGAGTTTCTCCACTGAAAAAGATGTTGTCCTGGGCCAGCTGAGTGGCGTGTTGGTTAAGAGTTGACTTGGGATGCCAGCTCTGAGCAGCAGGGCCCCGGTTCGGATCCCACATTAGGGCCAGTGACACTGCGCACTCTACAGCTAAGATGGTGAACAACAGCTTGACCTGGAGCTGGGCTGCCATGAGTCGCCAGCAAGGTGTAGGCTGCAGTGGGCTGCCATGAGCTACCGTGAGTGGCTGGCAGCAGGCGTGAGCTGCCAAGAGCTGCCGTGAGTGACCATCCAGTGGCTCGTGACCGATCTGCCTCAGCCAGGAAGAGCACAATGATAATACCAACATGGGCCAGTGAAGC